ATTGAGGCAGGAATTTAATAACTTAAGAGTTTAGAAACGTACAGGGTATCTTGGGAGGAAAGGTTTTCCTTTCAGCTCCTCCATTTCATTTTGTATAATTTCCCCCAAATTGCTCCCATGGTGATAATGGAGGAGTTTTGTCCCTCGGCGCCTCAGTGAGATGTTTGTGTTGGGAATTGCATGCGATTTACTGTTAATGAATTGAGGCAGGAATTTAATAACTTAAGAGTTTAGAAACGTACAGGGTATCTTGGGAGGAAAGGTTTTCCTTTCAGCTCCTCCATTTCAGTGTTTGCATTTTCTGAAAGTTTAGCCTGTGTCTGTACAGTACCACAAAGGAATGGCCGAAATGTAGATATTCACTCAGCTAAACACAATTCGCTTCACGTTTACCTGGGGATCGTTACATCATTTCAAGTAATCTAAGAAAAACAGTACCAAGCCAACTCACTGCAAGATACTCTACCTGTGTTTGAGGTTGTTTCAAATAATTTCCTTCTATATATTTTTGATGCGATGCTAAATTATTCAGCTTCAATTCATGACTAATCTCTGCCTCTCAGTTTTTCCAGTCTTCATAAAAATATCAAATAACAACTATAATTCATTAAACAGAAAACAGCTTGCACTGTATATGTAGATCTAGCACCACATGCCTTAAATCTGTTATAAAAATGGAATATCTAAATTCCAGTGGTGTAAAATAGGAGAAAAATTATTTTTGCTGGATCTCCGTGGAAGATACAGAGTGAATACGAATGAAGCAACTAAGACAACTTTAAAGTCTTACTTGTATTCCTGTCATAATAATCTTGTTTCTAGCTGAACAAAATCATCCTCTGGATTGCTTTTTAAACTGTTTTTCATATTGTTTTTTGCTTCCTGTCATAATATTGTCTTGCCAGTGAAGTGGTAAGACAGGTCTGCCAAGTGGAAAATCGATTTGGTCTTATGTTGACCCCTATTTTGTTCTGGTTTAACATTTCATTTTCGTTTAACAGAAGATACACTATTGCAGATAACAAATGTTTCTTTCTTTAACTAACCAGCTATTGCAGATTTTCCCTAGTAGGCATAAACTATTGTCAGGGCTTGCCTCAGCTCTTAGAGCAGCTGTGGATGTGCCTTGCTGATCTCAGGGAAAAGCTGGAGCGAGGAAACGAAGATGTGATGAAAATAGCTGAGGATGAGGTTTTGAGAGAAATATTCCTGTAATTTGTTGCAGCTGGGGAAGTGAAATGGGCAATTCTGACCACAGTGACAGATTAATAGACTCAGTACACTAATTAAAAAGCAACTTACTCTAATATATTAATCTATGAAATGACAGTACCAGAGAGAGCTGCTGTGTTTTGTGCACAAGCACGGGAACGCTGAAGTGCCCTTCTCCTGTAATGACCAAATTTTATATTGTATACAACATTCAAGAGTAATCTTAAACACGAAGCAACTGAAGGATTACTTCCTTCTGGTGTGAAACATGTAGGGAGATGTTTTGCTATAAACTGTATGTTCACGTGCAAGACAGAAAGAAACAAAAATTTCCATTTGTTCTTTTCCTTCTCTTTTTGTTGTTTTTTGTTTACATGGGTGTGCTAGAGTCCAGCTAAGAAGCTAGAACAGAAAAATCAAATCATTACTTAATCCTTTCCACAACTATTTCTAACTAAATTTTTGCTCATATCAGTGTAACATATTGGGATTTTCATGTTTTGAAATTTATCTGTGGAATTAGTTTGTATGAAAGTTTCTTGTATGGGTAAGTGGTACAGCTTCCTTGCATCCTCCACCAGTAATCGCAATAGATGGGGCCATGAGGAAAGAAAAAGAATGTATTTCTGATGTGCATTTAAAGTATCTCTGATATTACAACTCTATTCCTACCTCAGTAATGACTTAGATGGATGCCTTGGTAGATGACAAGATGACAGTTAAATGAAAATACCTGAATAATTTTTTTTTTTTTACAAACATCCCTTTGGTTTGCTTTTGAATATAGAAAAGTAGAATTGAAATTCTATACGTGTAACAAAATACTAAGTCTATATAAAGTGAGGGAATAATAATGCTCTTCAGAAGGAATGTGAAGTTTCAAAAACCTAAAATGTTCTGTAGGTGTTTGAGGATACAGTGGATGAATCTCTTGTAGTTTTATTTATTTATTTTCTGTTTCTTCATTAAATTTTATACTTTCTTTTTTTCCCCCTTAATTTAATGGATAATATGTCCTTGAATATTCTCCTTACAGGCATTTAAATATCTGCTGAAGTTTCTAAGCCTGTAATTTGCTTGTAATCTTCCATCTGTTTCCAATTCATTGTAAACACATACAGTCAGGTCTTGAGCTCTATAAAAGCATCACATGAAGTCAGTGGAGCTGCATAGAATTTCTTCAGATGAGAATCTTACTTGTGATATTTGTATCTTCCCTTTTCCTGAACCCGAACTTGTTTTCACCATACTATTACAATTTTTTTGTCATTCTGATCACAAATTGATATTAGTTGCCTGATTTTGACTAAAGTTCACATTCAGAATTATGTGAAAAGGATTCATGTATGGTGGGTATGAACTTTACAAAAATGTTTAATCAAAACTTCTTTCATAAACTGTTTATCTAACAAAATAGTTACAAGAGGAAAGGATTCATTTTCAGTACTTTTCTTGTGCTGTCAGACTCTTGTAATGGTGATGCAGGCTGTTGTGCACCAGACCATCATTCGTGGCCAAGGGAGATGACAAGGACCGCTCTGGGTTAAAAATCTGTATTTACTAGTTAGAAAGGTCACACTTGGAAATGTCCATGTGCATTGGTTTTTGCTGTCAAAGACTTCACCTTCAGTTGGCTTAGTGGAGAAGATGCTTGTGATGCACCAGGGACCAAGGCATATGTATTGTTTGAAAGAATTATTCCACTACATTAGTGGCCATAAACCCTATATAGGAATGGGGCAGAGTGAAAGAATAAGATGGAAATAATCTATTTAATTTATTGTACTTATTTTTACTGTTACTTAGCATAATCACAGGTAAAAACTAGGATAACATAAGAGCTGGGGAAGAAGACTGAAGTGATTGCCTTTGCATTGCAGTCTTTTTTTTTATGTTCAGTTAGGAAGCTACAGCAAACTTGGATTCATCATGGCACTGTCTCTAGTTACCTAATTTACTTTGTAAGAGTAAATCAGTAACTAAACCATTAAATGCTGATTCTGAGTAGATTTTCCGTGTGCTGGGTTTCTTTAGCTGTGCCTCCAGATGGAAATCTTGTTTGTTTGTTTTTAACTATACAGTGTGGTCACCAGGAAATAGCTCCTAGAATTGTTCAGCAATCACATCTTGCTAATTCAATTCTTCTCCCAAATATGTTCTGTAACATCTGTAATTAACCCCAAACCACTGCAGATCTGGCACTACCATTCAGAATGCTGTCTTTGAGGTACCCATGAAGCCACGGCAGATGATTCCATTACCACCAGTGATGTGTATTTTGTACCTTTGATATCAGTCTTCACGGTCTGAGACAGGTCGTAAGACTTGTATTGCTGTCAAGCTGTAGAAAATCCTGGTGTCAGGTTATTAACACTTAGAAAATAACAACACTCCTTGTCTTATATTAAAAAAATATAGACAGTTTTCTCTGAATAGATTTCAGTAGATAAAATACGGAACTTGTAGAGCTGAGTTACCGGTCTCACTAATAATTGTACTTTTAACACTGCCTTGCCATGAATCCTAAGTCAATTAATCTATTTCTGTTCCCTGAAAGTTTAAAATTGTAAAGTAGGCTAGCAGTTTACAACCACATTCATAAAACTCTTTAAAAGTACCAAGTGTCCCCTTCCTGTAAAGGCTACATAAGAAATTTTGCATGGCTAATATCTTATT